GGGGCTGGGCTGGGGGTTGGGGGGCCGGGTGGGGGAGCTGGGAGGCTGGGACTGGGCAGGGGCAGAAGCTGGGGGTGCTGAGGCTGGGGGTGCTGGGCCAGGCTGTGAGGTGCAGGTGGCGGAGGGAGGGGGCTCTGACGGCCCGGCCCCGCCCCCGCAGAGCGGGATCAATGCCCAGGTGCGGAACACCTACAGCCAGACAGCGCTGGACATTGTACACCAGTTCACCACGTCGCAGGCCAGCAAGGAGATCAAACAGCTGCTGCGAGGTGGGCTGGGGGAGAGGATGAGGGGCTGGGTGAGGGTCCTGGGGAAGCCGGCCTGCAGGACTGGGGTTTGGGCTCCTGTGTCTCCAGAGGCCTCGGCAGCCCTGCAGGTCCGGGCGACCAAGGATTACTGCAATAATTACGACTTGACCAGCCTGAACGTGAAGGCTGGGGACATCATCACGGTAAGAGTCCGGGGCTGGGGGGCAAGGGCAGGGCTCACCCAGAACGCCTCCCACCACGGTCAGGGATAGGGGCAGTGCGCAGACAGCCCAGAGAAAGCAGGCCCGGGCTGCCCACCCCCGACCTAGAGGGCTCCCCCCAAGCCAAGCTCCACACCCCGTGTGGCCAGGTCCTTGAGCAGCACCCCGACGGCCGGTGGAAAGGCTGTGTCCATGACAACCGGACGGGCAACGACCGTGTGGGCTACTTCCCATCCTCCCTGGGCGAGGCCATCATCAAGCGAGCCGGCAAGTGCCACCTGGATGGGGGCGGGGGGACAGGGCAGGGCTCTCGGGGGCCAGAGAGAAGCAAATGTATCTGTGTGATGTGTGTATGTGAGAGTGTCTGTCCGTGCGTCTCTGTATGTGAGTGCGTGTGCATGCGTGCCTGTGTGTGTACATGAGTGTTTACGTCTGTGTTTGTCAGGGCGTGTAGGACAGTGTCTGTCTGTCTCTGTATGTCTGTATGTGTGTGTACATGTGTCTGTGTGTCTGCATGTGTGCATGTGGGTGTCTGTCTGTGAGATGTGTCTGTATCTCCGTGTGGATCTGTTTGTATGTACGTGTATCTGTATGAGAGGGTCTGTGTATTTGTGTCTGTCTCTGTGTGCCTGTGTAATAGTGTGTATCTGTGTGTGTCTGCATATATGATAGTGTGTCTGTGTGTATCTCCATGTGTGTGTGCGAGTCTGTGTATATCGCTGTCTGTATGTGAGCATACGTGATAGTGTGTGTCTGCGTGTATCTGTTTTTGTGTGTCTGTATGTGAGAGCCTGTCTCTGTGTCTGTGTGTACGTGAGAGTGGATCTATGTGTATATCCCAGTGTCTGTCTGTGTACACTGAGTAGCGGACCCAGAGCGTGTGTGCTGGCCCCCGTGCTGCCCAGGCTGGGCCTCAGGGAGCCTGTGCTCGGCCGGCAGGTCCCCGAGCAGGCCCTGAGCCGAGCCCACCCCCAGGAGGCGGCTCGTCGGGGCCCTCTGCACCTCCGGAGGAGATATGGGTGCTGAGAAAGCCTTTTGCAGGTAGGCTGGCGTCCCGGAGGGCTGGGACATTGGTCCTCCCACCAGGAACCACCTGGGGCTCGGGGGTGGGCCGGGGGGGCCCGCGCAGCCTCACGCTCCCTCGCGTCGGCAGGTGGGGACCGCAGCAGCAGCCTGAGCAGTGCGCCTGGCGGCCGGGGCAGCGGGGCCCACGCCCTGCATGCGGGCTCTGAAGGGGTCAAGGTAGGTCAGGTGGGGTGGCCGCTGGGGTGGCCGAGCCAAGAGCAGCGCGGGCAAGTGGCCTTTCTGGGTTGTAGCTCCTGGCGACAGTGCTCTCCCAGAAGTCTGCCTCTGAGTCCAGCGCTGGGGACAGTCCCGTCAAGCCTCCGGAAACTTCCACAGGTAAGAGCAAAGCTGCTGCCCTGGCGGGGTCCCTGAACAGTCCAGGCCCCGACCACCGCTCTGTCCGCAGGTGCTGCCCGGGCCCAGCCTCCAGTGGCGCATGCTGGGCAGGTCTACGTGGAGCAACTGCCCAAGAAGCTGGAGCCGGCGAGTGAGGGCAAGGTACAGGGTTGAGGCCCGGCGGACTCGGGCAGGGCGGGCACTCGGGGCTGAGGCTGGCAGCACTGACGGTGCCAGGGCAGCCTTGAGGGGCCAGACTCCGTCCTCTGTCTGTCCTCCGTCTGTGTGTGTTGTGTGTGCACACACGTGTTCTAGGTGTTGTCTACTGTGTGGGCTGTGCGTGTGAGCCGGGGCGCAGGTGAATCGTGTGTGCAGACCACGTGGAGAGAGCGTGACAGGCGTAAAGGAAGCAGAAGTGTCCGCATGTGTGTGCCGCAGTGTGACCGGGGGCTGGGCATGCATGTGCAAGTGGGCATGGAAGGTGTGCAAGATGATATAAGGTGTGTGCGAGGATAAAGTGGGTTGTGTGTGTGTGTCTGCACGTGCCTGTGTGCTGGCTGAGGTGTGAACTGCTGGCTGAGTTCTCCTGGGTATCGGAAGAGGTGAGGGGCCCCTGCCCAATGGAGCGCAGAGCCGAACCCTGTGCCCGAGGCCCCTGCCCGTGGGCGCAGAGCCGAACCCTGTGCCCGAGGCCCCTGCCCGTGGGCGCCGCGCTGTACCCTGTGCCCGAGGCCCCTGCCCGTGGGCGCAGAGCCGAACCCTGTGCCCGAGGCCCCTGCCCGTGGGCGCCGCGCTGTACCCTGTGCCCGAGGCCCCTGCCCGTGGGCGCAGAGCCGAACCCTGTGCCCGAGGCCCCTGCCCGTGGGCGCCGCACTGTACCCTGTGCCCGAGGCCCCTGCCCGTGGGTGCAGAGCCGAACCCTGTGCCCGAGGCCCCTGCCCAGCATGGTCTCACATGGGGCCATGCTGCTTGCCTCCCCGAGATGGTGGCGGCATCCTGTCGGCAGCTGCTGGGCATCCCTGCTGCAGGGACAGGGGACAGTCGGGGGGCCTGTGACATGGACAGCAGCCGAAGTGTCCGGGTGGAGATGTGAAGGACGGCCAAGGGGCCCGACGATGCCCAAGGAAGGCGATGCCAGAAGAGCTGATGGAGCCCGGCGCAGAGGGACTGCAGACGGCCAACCTGGCGCCGCGTGGCGGGGTGCGTGCCCGGTGGGCAGGTGGGCAAGCCCTGCAGCGGGTGCCCTTGTGTCTTCCAGAGCGCCGAGGCAGTCAGCCAGTGGCTGGCCACGTTCCAGCTGCAGCTCTACGTGCCCAACTTCATCAGCGCCGGCTACGACCTGCCCACCATCAGCCGCATGACCCCTGAGGTGAGCCACCCCAGCCAGCCGCCGGCTGCCTCCCTGAGACAGGCCCCAGCCTCCTGCTAACGGGCCTCTCCCTGCCCAGGACCTCACGGCCATTGGTGTCACCAAGCCAGGCCACCGAAAGAAGATCACGGCAGAGATCAGCGGCCTGAGCATCCCCGACTGGCTGCCCGAGCACAAACCTGTAAGGCCCCCCGCCTCCCAGCACCTGGGCCCAGGACGGACAGACAGACAGGCCGGCTCCGGGGAGGCGAGTGGAGGACAGCCCTGCCAGCAGTGAGCCACCTGGACAGCCTCCTGTCTGTCCGTCCATCTGTCATGGGCACTGGGGCCAGCCTCCCTGGGGCAGGGGCCAGGATGACAGGGAGTCTCAGGGAAGGGGGCCGGAAACCACGAGCACCCCCTTTCCACTCCCACTAAGACCCCTCCATCTCAGCCAGCCACATGGGCACATCACACGCACACCTGGGACCACAGGCCACACATGGCTGGGTGTGCTCACACGCACCCAGGTACACAGCGGGCGCACACCCAGTGCGCATGTGTCGTGAGACAGCACGTGTCCGTTAACTGTAGTCGCCACTACGGTCGGCTGCTTGCACCTACCCGTTTGGCGCCTGTGCCGGCTGTGTGGACGGCTGACGCCCACTTCCAGCGCTGCCTGGAGACGATCGGCCTGTGGGGACAGGTTCTGGGCTGGGAGCAGGTGGCCCCGGGCTGCTGCCCAGAGTGTCTGCACCCACCCACATGCTCGTCCACCTGCCCTGCCCACCCCCGTCAGCAGTTTGAGGTCCCTCCCAGCCTCACAGGGACCCCTTGGTCTGCTCACGCCTGTGCACCCGGAGGGTGATGAGTGTGCCGCGTGTTGGTGCGTGAGTGGAGCTAGCGAGGAGCATGGATGCCGTTCAGAAGCGATCACGCGTTTGTGGGTGAAGCTCATCATGAGTATTTGCATGCGCATGTGACGTGGCTGGAGGTGTGTGCCTGAAGCAGGTGGCGATGCGTGAGCGTGAGCACAAGAGACACAGGTGGGGCACGAGTGGGATGCGGAAGGGGTGTTGGTGCCGGTACGTGGCTGAGCGTGCTGCGCGTGTGCACATGTGTGCGGTGCATGTACACATGCGTACATGCACGCGCGTGGGTGCAGTGTGTGTGTACGCGTGCACGCCTGTCCGACATGGCTGTGACGGTTGTCTGCGTCCGTGACCTGTGGGTGAGTTGACACAGGGAGCTGCCCCTCGGGCCGGGGGCAGGTGAGGAAGTGAGTTCTTCCCCCCAGCCCTGGAGGGAGGGTTCTGAGAAGGGGTCTTGCCCTGCGTTTGTGTGTCTGCGTGTGCTCACACGTGCCCTGAAGAGCTGGCCTGGGGCTCCTGTTCTGTACCTGAGCGGTGCCCAGACTGTGCGTACGCCGTCTCCGATGCCGACACTGCCGGCCCGTCCGTCTGTCCATCTGTCTCTTTGTGCCGGCTGGCCTGGTGCCCCCTCCCTTGGACAGCTGGGAGTAGGCAGGCAGGGTGTGGGCGGCAGGCCTGGCTGCCCTCTGTGTCCCCTGCCCCCAGGCTAACCTGGCCGTGTGGCTGTCCATGATTGGCCTGGCCCAGTACTACAAGGTGCTGGTGGACAATGGCTACGAGAACATCGACTTCATCACCGACATCACCTGGGAGGACCTGCAGGAGATTGGCATCACCAAGCTGGGTGAGGGCTCGCCCCGCCCACCCCCGGTCCTCGCCAACTCCCCCCTGGCCTGACCCATGCCATGCCCCACACAGGACACCAGAAGAAGCTGATGCTGGCAGTGAGGAAGTTGGCGGAGCTGCAGAAGGCAGAGTATGCCAAGTACGAAGGGGGCCCCCTGCGCCGGAAGGCACCCCAGTCGCTTGAGGTGGTGGCTATCGAGTCGCCGCCCCCGCCCGAGCCCACCCCCGCCGAGTGCCAGTCTCCGAAGATGAGCACCTTCCAGGACAGTGAGCTCAGTGGGGAGCTGCAGGCGGCCATGACCGGCCCGGCCGAGGGTGCCGCCGCCGCCAAGAAGCCCTGTAACCAGCTGCCGCCCACCCCGAGGGGCAGCCTGCGGCAGGAGCCCAGTCTGGGCGGGCGGGCACGCCACATGAGCAGCTCCCAGGAGCTGCTGGGTGATGGGCCCCCGGGGCCAGGCAGCCCCATGTCACGCAGCCAAGAGTACCTGCTGGACGAGGGGCCGGCTCCTGGCACTCCACCCAAGGAGGCCCGGCCCAGCCGCCACGGCCACAGTGTCAAGCGAGCCAGCGTGCCCCCGGTGCCCGGTAAGCCGCGGCAGGTCCTCCCGTCGGGCACCAGCCACCTCACGCCTCCCCAGACACCCACCAAAGCCCGGCCGGGCTCTCCCCAGGCGCTGGGGGGGCCCCACGGTCCTGCCCCGGCTACGGCCAAGGTGAAGCCCACCCCGCAGCTGCTGCCACCGGCGGAGCGGCCCATATCACCCCGCTCGCTGCCCCAGTCGCCCACCCACCGTGGCTTCGCCTACGTGCTGCCCCAGCCCGTGGAAGGAGAGGCGGCCCCGGCGGTCCTGGGGCCCGTGCCCAGGCTGTGCCTGCCCCCCGAGGCCGATGGCGAGCCAGGGCGGCCGAAGAAGCGTGCCCACAGCCTGAACCGCTACGCCACGTCCGACAGCGAGCCAGAGCGGGATGAACTGCTGGTACCAGCCGGGGCGGGGCCCTACGCCACGGTCCAGCGGCGCGTGGGCCGCAGCCACTCCGTGCGGGCGCCGGCCGGCGCTGACAAGAACGTCAACCGCAGCCAGTCCTTTGCTGTGCGGCCCCGCAAGAAGGGGCCCCCGCCGCCCCCACCCAAACGCTCCAGCTCCGCCATGGTCAGCGCCAACCTGGCCGATGAGCCGGGGCCGGACGCCGAGACTGAGGGGGCTGGGCCCGAGGACGGTGGGCTGGGGGTCCAGGCACAGCGCCGGCGGGCCAGTGACCTGGCCAGCAGTGTGGACACGGGCAGCGCGGGCAGCGTGAAGAGCATCGCGGCCATGCTCGAGCTCTCATCCATTGGGGGCGGGGGCCGGGCTGCCCGCAGGCCCCCTGAGAGCCACCACATGCCCCGCCCTGCCAGCCCTGAGCCAGGCCGCGTGGCCACAGTGCTGGCCTCTGTGAAGCACAAGGAGGCCATCGGGCCTGATGGGGAGGTGGTGAACCGGCGCCGCACACTCAGTGGGCCAGTCACCGGACTTCTGGCCACGGCCCGCCGGGGGCCTGGGGAGCCGCTGGGGCCTGTGGAACAACACAGCCCCCTTGCTGAGGATGGCGCTGCCCGGCAGCGGCCCCGAGGCCCAGCCAAGGGTGAGGGCAGTGGCGAGGGCCCGCCCCTGGCCAGGGTGGAGGCCAGCGCCACTCTCAAGAGGCGTATCCGGGCTAAACAAAGCCAGCAGGAGAACGTCAAGTTCATCCTGACCGAGTCCGACACCGTCAAACGCCGGCCCAAGGCCAAGGAGCGGGAGGCGGGGCTCGAGCCGCCCCCACCACTGTCCGTGTACCAGAACAGCACAGGCACCCTGCGCCGCAGGCCAGTCTCGGAGCAGGGTGCATCCCCTGAGCTGCCACCGCCTCCCCCACCCGCCGAGTCGCCACCCACCAACCTGGAGCACCTGCCGCCGCTGCCCCTGCCTGACAGTGATGCCCGGAAGCCAGCCAAGCCACCTGTCTCCCCCAAGCCTGTCCTGGCTCAGCCTGTGCCCAAGGTTCAGGGCTCGCCCACGCCGGCGTCCAAGAAGGTGCCGCTCCCGGGCCCAGGCAGCCCAGGTAGGTGTGGGGAGCCAGAGAGCAGAACCTCTGCCTGCCCCCCACACTTCTGCAAAAGCCTGGGTGGGTGTGGTCTGGGGACACTCATCCATCCACCCATGGAATGACTCCGTGCCAGTCCAGAGCTAGGAGCAAGGGGGCACAGTCCTGCACACAAACCCAGGAATGGCACCTGTAGAGGTGCGAGAACAGGTGCCAGATGCCCAAGGGGTTAAGGAGGACTCTGACATGGCTGGGTTTAGCGCAGATCCCCAGCGCTTGGGAAGCGGTGACCCGAGCATTTGCACGTGGAAGTGCGCCCCCTGGCGGCGCAGGAGGGTGGAGCGGTGGGGACCTGGCGGTAGGAGCAGCTAGACGGCGGCAGCGGGCCGGGGGCCCGGGTCCTCGCCCCGGTGACAGCGCCGTCCTCTCCGCAGAGGTGAAGCGCGCCCACGGGACGCCGCCGCCCGTGTCGCCCAAGCCGCCGCCGCCGCCCAC